AGTTGCCCTCCAGCCAGGGAGTCGGCGGGGGACCCGGAGCATGCGCTCCTTCTAGATCAGGTGGTACAGCGCCTCCTCTCCCTGGGAGCCGTGGAGAGGGTACCTTGGGAATTTCGGGGCAAGGGAATCTATTCCAGGTATTTCTTCAGCCCATCCTCGATCTGCAGAAGCTCAACCAGTTCTTGGTTCACCGCAAATTCCGCATGGTGTCCCTAGCCTCTATTATTCCTTCCCTAGACACGGGGGATTGGTTTGCAGCGCTGGACCTCCAGGATGCCATCCACATTTTTGAGGGTCACAGGTGCTTCCTCTGTTTCCTGGTGGGTCAGGACCACTACCAGTTTACGGTCCTCCCCTTTGGCCTCTCAACGGCCCCCAGGGTCTTCACAAAGTGTATGGCGGTGGTAGCAGCCCACCTCAGGAGGAGAGGGCTGCAGATCTTCCCCTACCTGGACAACTGGCTGCTCAAGGGCAAGTCCCGGTCCCAGGTGCAGCAGCAGATAACCTTCCTGCTACGCATCTGCTCAACTCTAGGCCTAGTGGTAAACGAGGAAAAATCCACGTTAGTACCCGTCCATCACATAGAATTCATAGGAGCGCTGCTAGATTCCCAGGGGGCCACGGCCTCCCTCCCAAGGGACAGGTTCGAGGCACTCAAAGACCTCATCGCCTCAGTCACGGCCTTCCCGGTGACCATGGCATGGGTGTGCCTTCAAATCCTCAGCCACATGGCTGCATGCACCTCGGTGGTGCGACATGCCGGGCTCAGGATGAGACCCCTTCAGCTCTGGCTGGCCTCCCAGTACTCGCAGGCCAGAGACGACCTAGACAAGGTCATCACGGTTCCGCCAACGGTGGTGGCAGGCCTGCAATGGTGGTCTCTCCCGAGCAATATGCTCCAGGGGGTTCCCTTCCGCGATCCCCCTCCCGCACTAGATCTAGTGTCGGATGCCTCGGACCTGGGCTCGGGGGCCCACGTGGGGGGGCTTCAGGACCCAGGGGTTGTGGTTGTCCGAGGAACTCGCCCTACACATAAATGTCAGGGAACTCAGGGCAGTGTGCCTGGCGTGCGTGGCTTTCCGCCAGCGTTTACAAGGGAAGGTGGTCAGAGTCCTCACAGACAATACCACTGCAATGTATTATATCAACAGGCAAGGGGGCACGCGCTCCACGGCCTTATGCCAGGAAGCCCAGCTCCTGTGGGAGTTCTGTATAGTCCATGACATCTTCCTCTGAGCGTTCCACCTGCCCGGTGAGAGCAACACGCTCGCGGATAGCCTGAGCAGGGTGTTCTCACAACAACACAAGTGGTCTCTACGCAGGGAGGTAGCGGAGTGGATCTTCCTACAGTGGGGTACTCCCCAGATGGACCTGTTCGCCACCGCCCAGAATTGCCTGTGTACCAAGTTCTGCTCCAGGGTGGGAGAGGGCGAAGGGGCCATGACAGACGCGTTCCTGCTCAGTTGGTCGGGGCCCCTGATGTACGCCTTCCTGCCCTTCCCCTCATAGGCAGGGTCCTACAGAAGCTGAAATCAGACGGGGCAAGGATTATCCTGATAGCCCCGGATTGGGCCCATCAACATTGGTACGGGACCTTACTGCAACTCTTGGCAGCCCCCCCTCGCAGGCTGCCGCTCCACCCGGACCTCCTCTCCCAGGATGGAGGTAGTCTCCTCCACCCCAACCTGACCCCTCTGCACCTGACAGCATGGATGCTCCGTGGCTAGATGCGGAGGAGGGGAGGTGTACTGAGGCTGTTAGACGGGTTCTGCTTGAGAGCAGGAAGCCGTCCACACGGAAGTCCTACCTGGCTAAGTGGTATTGGTTCTCCATATGGGGAGGGAGAGAGGTTCCTGCCCCGCGTCTGCTCCGCTCCAGCTGGTCCTGGATTACCTCCTGTCCCTTAGGACCCAAGGGCTGGCGCCCTCCTCGATCAGGGTGCACCTGGCAGACATCTCGGCTCTCCACCCTCCGGTGGTGGGACAGTCCGTGTTCTCCCACCACATGACTTCCAGGTTTTTAAAGGGTTTGGACAGAGCGTTCCCTTATGCTAGACCCCCAGTTCCACCTTGGGACCTGAACCTGATACTGTCATGCCTCACGGGGCCTCCCTTTGAGCCCTTGGCCACATACTCCTGGTCCCACTCATCTGAGAAAGTGGTGTTTTTGGTGGCTATCACCTCAGCCCGCAAGGTTTCGGAGCTTAGGGCGCTGACCTCTGAACCCCCATATACGATCTTCCATAAGGGGAAGGTCCAGCTTCGCCCGCACCCGGCCTTCCTGCCAAAGGTGGTCTCCGCGTTTCATATGGACCAGGACATCTTCCTGCCAGTCCTGTGTCCTAAGCCCCATTCCTCCAATGTGGAACGACGCCTGCACATGCTAGATGTGCGTAGGGCGCTGGCCTTTTACTTAGGCCAAACAAGGCCATTCCGGAAATCCCCTCAGCTTTTCATCACATCGGCCAAGCGCATGAGAGGGCAACTGGTTTCCACCCAGTGGATCTCCCGCTGGATTACCTCGTGCATACGCACGTGTTACGACCTGGCAGGGGTTCCCCCGCCTCCTATAGTAAAGGCTCATTTGACGAGAGCTCAGGTCTCGTCAGCTGCCTATGTGGCTCATGTCCCTATTCAGGACATCTGCAGAGGATGTAATCCTCTGTCCACACCACCTCATCACACTATGCGATCGTCTCCCAAGCAAGGGATGATGCCGGGTTTGGTAGGGCGGTGCTCCGCCCAGTTAACCCTTAACACTTATCATTTAGAACTCCTACCCACCTCCGTCAGGTATAGCTTGGAGTCACCTACTGTGGAATATACAGGAGCAATCACTCGAAGAAGAAAGGACAGTTACCTGTTCCGTAACTGGCATTCTTCGAGATGTGTTGCTCCTGTCTATTCCACATCCCACCCTCCTTCCCCTCTGTCGGAGTTGTCTGGCAAGAAGGAACCGAGGCTGGGGGGAGCACACAGCCCCTTTATGACGCGATATATCGGCGCCACTCCAGGGGTCGCAGCGGTGCTTCCCCACTACGGATACTGCTAAGGGAAAAACTTCCAGCACCGGTACACGTGGCGAGCACGCACACCTACTGTGGAATAGACAGGAGCAACACATCTCGAACGCCAGTTACGGAACAAGTTAACTGTCCTTTCTTTGTCATCAGGGAAAGGAGAGTTTTTAGGAGGGATTTGAAGGAGGCTGAGGTAGCTTTGCAGATGTTTATGGGGAGTGCCTCCCAGTTGAGAAGGCAGCTGGAAATAAACACCAAGGCTCTTGTTTGCAAATTTAACCAGTGGGCCATGGAGGCTGGCATCGTGAACCAGCTGGAAGCAAGCAATCAGCCTGATTGCAATTGAGAGGTAAGGAGGGTGGAGATAAAATCCCTGAAAGTGAAGACCAGCAGTTTACATTTGATGCAATAGAGAAGGGGGAGTCAATAGAGGGATTCAGAGGGGTGATGTGGTCAAAGCAACAAGCTAGGAAGAAGAGGTGCTTTCTATGACTTACCTCTTCTGCAGGAATGACCTATGACTTAGAAATGTATTTTTTTAAATAAATTAAAATTAAATTAATGGAGATATCCCATTTCCTAGAACTAGAAGGGACCTTGAAAGTCATCAAGTCCAGCCCCCTGCCTTCACTAGCAGGACCAAGTACTGATTTTGCCCCAGATCCCTAAGTGGCCCCCTCAAGGATTGAACTCACAACCCTGGGTTTAGCAGGCCAATACTCAAATCACTGAGCTATCCCTCAATATATATATATATATATATATCTTTTTATGTGAAAGATAGAAATTGGATTTGAGTGAATAAACCTTGTAGCATATAGGACCAAGTGTCTGTGCTAGAAGTCAAGTGCTCAAAGTTAAAAAAAAAAAAATAGCTAAAATCAAGGCTGCATGTGCAACATTAATTCTGGCATAGTTTGTGTCTCTGTAGCTCCTCAGCTTTCTCTGACTTAATTATCCTAAAGAACTGTCATCTGAAAATTCTGCCAGCTCACTGTGCCCACCACCCCCTTTTCTAGTTTGATATATTAAACATTGGGCCTACTGTGGAACTTGGAGGCACTCGGCTGTTAACCTTTGTGAGTGATTCATGACAATACTTTGCCTCTTGCCTTGAATGCTTAGATTCTTTAATAGCCTGTTAGGATGGACCTTATCAAAGACCTGTCAAAAGTTTAAATAAACTGATTCATAGATTTTAAAGTACAAAGGGACCTTTGTGATCATCTAGTCTGACCTGTATAACACAGGCCACAGGACTACCCTTAATTAATTCCTGTTTGAACTACAGTATAGATTTTTGAAAAAGTTTTTGGTTTTAGTTTTGGAGAATCCACTACAACCAGTGTTTAATTTGTTTTTTAAAAAATAAAAAGATCCCTGGTCTCAAGCAATAAAGATGGTGTCTGCCGCACAGCATGACCTCGCAAGCATTGTACGTGTGAGGTCATGCCTTGCACGCCACCAGAAGAGGTGCCATGGCTGAGTCCCGGCACAAATTAAGCTCTGACCACAACCCTGGGTAAGTTGTTTCAGTAGATAATTCCCCTCACTGTTAAAGATTTGTGCCTTATTTCTAGTTTGAATTTGTCCAGCTTCAACTTCCAGCCATTGAATTTAGTTAAACCTTTGTCTTCTGGATTGGAGAGTCCTCCTCTATTATCAAATCTCTGTTCCTCCTGTCAACTAGTTCTCTTGCATCCATTAATCTATTGACGTTTAGAGAATTCTAATAAATTAGTGAGGCACAATCTTCCTTTGCAGAAACTGTGCTGATTAGTCCCTATCATAGCATGATATTCCAAATGTTTTATTCTATTCTTCTTCGAGTGCTTGCTCATATCTATTCCAATCAGGTGTGCGCGCGCCGCGTACACAATCGTCAGAGAATTTTCTACCCTAGCAACACCCGGCGGGTCGGCTGTGGAGCCCCCTAGAGTGGCGCCTTCATGGCGCTGGATATATACCCTAGCCGACCCGGCGCCCCCTCCAGTTCCTTCTTACCGCCCCTGACGGTCGTTGGAACTGTGAAGCGCGGCATACCTGTTCTCCACTCTCCCTAGCTTATCCTGTATTGTTTGTAGATAATTGTAGTTGTAGTTGTTGTATCGTGTTAGATAGTTGTTCATTTTACTTTTTAATAGTTGTAGATAGTTAGAGGGGATAAAAGGGGGTTGTTCTCCCCCCTTTTTCCCCGGCGCATAGCCGGGCTCATGCCCAAGGCTCCCGGCTTTAAGCAGTGCGCGTCCTACGCGAAGCCTATGCCCACGAGTGATCCGCACGACTCGTGTCTGAAGTGCCTGGGAGAGTGCCATCAAACAGATAAGTGTAAGATCTGTAAGGCCTTCAGACCGAGAACCAAAAAGGAGTGGGACTTTCGGCTTCGGCAACTCCTCATGGAGGCGGCACTTAGCCCGGACACTCCATCGGCGCGTCAGGCCTCGGCACCAAGCGCCTCGGTGCGCAGCGCCCCTGCGGCACCGACTGCTTCTGCACCGCGGGTAGAGTCGGACAAGCCTCCGCGGCACCGGCCTCCTTTGGCACCGCACCCGCCACAAGTGCCTCGGCGCCGATCCTTGTCCCCGGGACAT